TACTTGTTAAGTCTGACATATCACTGAATTGAAACAACAGCTCTTTCAATAATTATATTCTGATAAATATTATTAGTTTCCATGATAAAATAGGACATACTAAATACAATACATAATGTATATATATATATATATATATATATATATTTCAACAGGTCCTGCAAACAAATGTAGAGTTTATATTTTTAATAAATTTGTTGCAAGGTGCAATAAATGTTAAAGTATACTTAGCATAAAATGTCCAAAAGCTGAAAGCCTATAAACTATTTATGATATTTAAAAATAATTAGCTTCAATTGTAAGTAACATTTTTCTTTGTGCTCACATATTTCTACAGATTTTTATACCTTTGGCTTTAAATGTAGCTCTAAAACCTGATGCCTAATGAGAAATTAATCTTCGTAGGGAAAGGTAAAAAATAATTACAAGAGAAAATTTTTCTTTTGAATAGAGTAACAATTATTATCCTAGTTAATACATTTTTATTTCTTCAGGTCCTAAAGGAGAACCAGGTACCACAGGCATCTCTGGGTTTCCAGGTCTTCCAGGTACACCAGGTGTAAAAGGAGAACGAGGTGACGTAGGAGAAATAGGTCTAATAGGACCAAAAGGATATCGAGGATTTAGTGTAGATGGCCAGAAAGGTGAACGTGGTGAAGTTGGATATGCAGGGGATCCAGGTGTGTATAATTTATAATAGATTCTTCTGTATTTGGCAAGTCATTCAAACTCAAAATTTTTAAATTTTGTAAATATATAATGTTAATTTACTAAAATATTTTAAATTCTGTAAACAAATTAATTTACATGTTAATTGCTCAAACTTGTTTCCTGTCTTATATTGAACTAGCAATAAGTTATTTCTACATAACATTTAATAGGTCATTATATATTTTCTTTGCTTAATATCCATCTTAGTCAAGAATGTGAACCAAAATAAGTAAACTAAAATAGGTTTTAATGACTGCAGAGCCTTGTCAAGATCACACGTCATGTGAAATAAGGGAGTTTTACCAAACATTTCAATCTAAATATTCATGTGATATGTAGCATTAAGTCAATCAAATTTAAACTTTACATGCATAAATTACATTATTATTATTGAAAATTCTAGCTTTATTTGACTTTTTATTTCTGTAGGTCGTTTTGTGATTGGTCCAAAGGGTGAATCTGGTAATCCTGGAGTTCCTGGTTTGATTGGTCCACCTGGAGATGATGGATTACCAGGTGTTAGTACTCCTGGTCAGCGAGGTAACCCTGGGCCTCCAGTAAGTTCTATATTTCAAAAATGATTCATTTGAGCATCTTGGAAATATTTTTTATCTTATTTTTGGGGGGGAATAGATGTGTGGTTATTTTAAGGTTAAACCTAGCACAAAGTTATTTGATTTCTTCAATAACTAGTAACTCAAGAACATAGTATGTGTAGTATATGGAAGTTATATGACATAGGTAGAGTGATAAAGACAAGACACAGTGCTGAAATTGAATATTAACACTTATTTATTGAAGATAAAAAGCTGATTGTTCAGTGGTAGAGATCTATAATGACTCTTGACTTCTTTATGCCAGTAACAAATCTGTTCTCTCTAAAGATATAAAAGAATATACCTTGAAAGCACCAAACTAAATGCACAAAGAACCTTCTATCTGTATATAACCAATCATAAAACTGAATTGTAGGATTCCAGGAGTACTTCTGTTTTATACGAAAGTCATCTGTGGTCAAGGTAAAATGGGATACATCAAAACTATCTCATGAAACATCTGATAAATTCCTCAACTTTTTTCAGTTACAGAAAGTAATACCTTGGGCTGATCAATTTTTTTGTTTTCCAGAATAGAAAATAGAAAAATTAAAATGTTTTGCAGACATGAGAATGTAGGTGAGTATGGTATGTAGTATTTGCATTCTGCAGATTTACTATGTGAAAAATGGTTGAGTCCCATCGACTGATAAGGGGTATTTTGATTTTTAAACCACTTAAGTTGTTGAATTTTAGTGATGCTTCTATTAGAGTACCTGACTCTAAACTATGTAAATTTATCTTGTTGAATAAACATCTCTATGCTAATTACATATTTTCATGTATTCTGTAGTGTGATTTTCTGGATATTACAATAAAAATGTAAATGATTTTATCTACAGGGATTTGATGGCCTGTTAGGTCAGAAAGGCAGGAGAGGTGATCGAGGAGTTGATGGAATCACAGGTTTTCCTGGACCACGAGGGCTAAGAGGAGATGATGGTTTTCCCGGTGAGCCTGGTGTACCAGGATATGTTGGACCAGATGGTATGTTCAGGTTTCTTGTTCATGTTCATAATTATACTAATTAAAGTACAATATTGTAGCACACAGCCTTTGCTCATCAACTAATTTTTTATACTGTGTCTTAACCATCAGGTTATATATAATGTAACAGAATATTATAGAATAGACTGTAACATAGAATAGAGTGCAAACATACTGAACAGGAAAATTTATCAGTAAAATTATCTTTTCATTGCATATTTGATTTATACTTTGTCTCTTTACTGTAAGTTTAAGGAGAGGAGAAAAGGCATGTTCCCTCTATTTCTCCACTTTAATCCATCTCTGATATATGAAACAAACCTTATAAACACTATACTATTTTCCTTGCTTTTGTAATAGTTCAGACCTAGGTCCTGGCAATAAATATTCTTAGATGGTGATGCCAAAGCTATATACTTTAACACTTTCGTTTCAGAACGATGTTAATGTCCTCATCATTCTAAAAACATTATTGTCTAGTTAAGAGTGAAGTGGTGAAATGTATTTGCTAATTTTTTTGAAGTAGCAACCACCTCTAATTCATCAAATCACACATAATAAATAGGCATGTCAAAAACATCAAATTATATAGACTGAATAGGCATACAAGGAAAAGCATTCCTGCTGACTATTTCTACCATAGAAAACTTCGTGTTTTTTTTTTTGCAAATTCCCATTTATTTTAGTAGAATGTAAAACAATTAGATGTAGACTTTTGGAAAGTTTTAATAAAATCAAATTTTACTTTATTCTATTAACATATATTAGGTTTACAGGATACTATAAAATGTTGGGCTTCAATTATCAAGTTAATTGGTGCCAATATAAATTGTCAAGTCATAACATTTTGCTCTTATTTAGAATTTTACTGTTTTGTTAGTGATAACTGAAGATCCATTGAGTAGACAGGACTAGCATTATCAAATAGGCAACTGCCTTGAAGAGAAAAATGGAGGGACTGTAAAATGAAAATAACAATGTTTATAATATCACCTGTATTATATAATTTTCCCTAATTTGGGACTTCTTCCTCAGGTGGACAATGGGAGGCAGAGTGTTCAGTTTCCTATTTTTTGTAGTCCCTGTGGGACAACTGTAAGTCTATAGATTTACAACTCTAAAGTTCAGGGTTTGATTCCCCATGGTAGACACAGCAGATAGCCCACTGTTGTTTTGCTTTAAAACAAACAAGTGTATTTTACAGGGAGTGTGCAGAATAAAAGTATTCCAAAAATTTGTAACTAGAAATTTATATAGACTCTGAAAACTAGGCCATTGTAGTATGTAGGCTGGACATGTGCTCAGTAAACTACAATTTGTTTTTCAGAAGGTACACAGACTAAAAGTATTCTCAAAAATTACTTTTAAATTTGTGAAAAATTGAAGATACCTAAAAAAATTACATCTAAAGCAGTGGTAACTTAAAGTAATTAAACAATGAACTTAAAAAAAATAGGGCTGATGGAAGACACCAATTTTGTAGTGCTCATTATGAGATAAAGAAAGCAGAAAATGACAGATTGGAAAACTAGAAGAACTCTTTTTTTTCAAGCTTTTACAATGAAACACATTACTATTAGAACTTCAAACTAAACCCCCTGCCACGATGAGTTTTTTTTTTACTATTAGAAAAAGTTAAGAAACTACTACTGCTAAAAAATAGTGAAAAGTGTTAGAACTTCCTACTATTCTGTCTCAGTAATTTTATAAACTACAGCTTCTCATGATAAAGACAATTTTAAAAAGGTAAAGCAGACAGAAAAAAATAATTACATATATATATTTAGTTTGGATGATTTTGTTTACATGGCCAAAATATACTCTAAGGCTTAATAGTTGTTGGCCCCATGTTCAAACTTTTCTAAATAAAACTTTTTATTCTCTTTGTATAGTTTTTGATATATAATCATTTTAAGTATGGAATTATGTATATTATCATCATTTAAAAGTAATAGTGTAATATGTAGAAAGCCAGTCTGTTAACAAAAACAAAACTTTTCTTAAATCTTTGCTCCAAGATGTTGTGCTTCTATGCTAACAGTCTTTCATCACATATTTATTGAATATATATATAAAAATGTTCAATATTGTACATTTGTATACATGTAATTATTTGTTGCAGAAATTTTAAATTTAAGGTAAATACACATTCAAACTTATTAAATTCCTTTATTTGATTCTTGGAAAATATATTTTCATATTCTTTAGAAACTAGTACCTTATCATTTTGGAATTCTCTTCAGTTATTCTTTTTGTCATTCAATGTAATATTTTATTTGTTTGAAATCCTAGTTTGATTTGAAGAAAAATAATTTTTATAAACTTATATTACTTATCAACTTAACAGCAATTATAATAAATAAAGATTACTTCTGATTTTTCCACTTCAAAGTGCAAAGTAAGATTTAATACATAATTCTACAAAAAGCTATACATATTGTTTGTATTTGTTATGTAGGTGACAAGGGCGAGAGTGGTGACAATGTTCCACCCCCATTGATACATGAGCGACCCAGAGGATTCCCAGGAGATCGAGGTCTTAAAGGGCCAAAAGGAATTACAGGCTATCCTGGAAGCATTGGTCTTCCTGGTCTGGATGGTGACCGTGGAATTCCAGGTGAACCTGGACCTCCAGGTCCTACTGGAAGACCTGGTCCTCAAGGCCCAAAAGGGGAAAATGGACTTCGTGGAAATAATGGTAAGTTTCTCTTCAACTTATTATTTTATTCAATAGAAAATCCTATTTTAAATGAACTGAAAATTATAAACTGTCTTAGAATATGGTTTCTCAAATGGTTAAATGATTTCTGAGAGAGATTATAAGTGGTTGTTCATGGTTAAACCTAGCGCACAGTTTCCTGATCTCTACAGCAAATAGTGTTTTCAGGTCTTAGTATAAGGAAGGACAAGTGTAGTGATTTGTAATGATGGAATAAAAGAGACAAGACACAATGTCGAAGTTAGGTTAAAAATTAATCTCTTTATTTGCTGGATAATAACTAAATGAGTTTGGCTAGCTTAGTTAGTCCTAAATATGTATTTCAAGCTGATGATGCCAAAAAATCTGTATAATAAAAATAAATAAAAATAAAAGTAATGACATTTGATAGCTTAACTAGCAGAGATGCGAATGGTAGAAATATCATTTATTTGTTTTCTGGGACATTTATGCTGAATTCCTGAAGGTTAGCAGAAAGTAATGGTCATTTGGATTTCTTGTTGCTAATTTGCAGATGGAAATGACTGGCAAAAATCAATGGAAAGTATCAGGAATTGATATTAGAAAGATTTCAAAATTAAAAAACTAGTCTTCAGCTAGTGAGAGTGGGGCAAGCTCCACCCTTAGTCTCCAGTATTAATTATTTTATTTTAAGTTGTTTATTACTAATAAATTCAAGTGAATTTTTTATGTTGTTTGTCTTTTTTTGTAAGTGAAAATAATCTTATGTGTGGACTTTTTTACAGTGGAATTTGAAGTTTTAGAATTGCTTCTAGAAAAGAAATTAACTTAGTTTTCTCTTTATAGCTCTCTGTTTCTGTAGAAGTAAGCTCTATTAATTCTTCAGTAATTATCAACTCTTCTATCTCTGTAGAAACATCTGTTTTAGCTTAAAGCAAATCCTCATTTATGTACAAATAAATCAGTTCCTCCGTTCTTCAAGGAAATTCTGTGTGTTTTGTTCCAGTTTTAAAAGACTCATAGTAAAAAGAAGAAACTATATTTTGGAGATTTAATAAATATCTACTACTATTATGTAAAAAAATTTACTTAAGTAATCAACTAAATCTCCTCTTCTTTTTACTAGGAGTAGAAGGTTTTCCAGGTTCTCGTGGCCAACCTGGAGATCCAGGACAGCGTGGACCTCCAGGATCCCCTGCACCATCTCGTGGGTACTATTATACTCGTCACAGCCAGTCAGTAGAAATACCTCAATGTCCAAGAGGTACGACACCAATGTGGAATGGTTATTCCCTCCTCTATATTATGGGAAATGAAAGAGCTCATGGACAGGATTTAGGTGAGTATATCTTCTAAGTTTTAGAAAAAATCTATAATTTTAGTTGTATATTCACTATCCATCAGGAATATTGTAGTTGTATGAAAATATGATTATATTTGTGAAGTATTTTTTTTTTTATAATTCAGAAATTATTAAGACTTTAATGAGAAGTTCATGATAGTTTATGTAGATGGACTAGCAAGAAAATTTTAAGCCTCAAACTTATAGCAGGGTATGTTTGAAATTAAGGTTGTTTGTTTAGATCCATACCGCTCATGCTGTGAGATTTTTTATTTGTATTCAAATGCTGATGCAAAATACTTATAATAGATTTCACAAAACTCAAATAATGTAGGTTGAAATATTCTGTATTCACAAACTCATGATTTAGTCACACAAATGAAACCTTTAAAATTTTTTTTTTTCTTAGGTGGTCCTGGTAGTTGTTTGAGAAGGTTTTCAACAATGCCATTTATGTTTTGTAACCTTAATAATGTTTGTAATTTGGCATCTCGTAATGACTATAGTTACTGGTTAAGCACACCTGAACCAATGCCCATGATGATGACTCCTATTGTTGGAAGAGATATTCAGCGATATATCAGTCGATGTGTTGTTTGTGAATCTTCAACCCAGGTAGGTACAGCAACTTGAGAATCACATTTTTTAGAATGAGATATTAAAAGATACACCTGTCACTTCATTATTTATGAATGCATAACATTGGAAGCACAAAAACATGGTTTAAACTGCTGTAAGAGAAAAATAATTAACTGGTTAATTTTTATGTCAAAAGACCTCAAGAAAACTAAGTGGGTGCTTAGTACACAGAAACATGAAAAAACTTGAATGCAGAATAAGATTGCTACATGAACATACAACATTTTTAACAACCTAATTATGAAAACAAACGGGACTTTTTTTTATCTTATCATTTAAGATGGGAAAACAAAAATCAAGTGTGGTACAAGTCAGGTGTTAAATTGTTCAGACTTTTAACAAGTTGACTGTGATCATTCTGCTTGAGTTCTGGACCAGTAGATTTTGAAGTGAAGACATAAATTTAAGAAATACAGAGGGTTGAATATGTTATATTAATACAAATTCAAACATGCAATTCAACACATCATGTTACAACCACAGCTAATTTAAAGTTTTGATGGAATAACATGTATTAGAACTACATTTTGACATTTTTTGGCATTTCATAAGTAGTGTGATGTCACCATAAATTCATTTCTTTTGGTAAGGGTATGTAACAGCCCTTTCTGAAACAAATCAGTCAAATCTTAGAGATGTATTCAGATCAGATTAGACTCTAAAGTCATTTTGATATAACATACTCATCCTCTCTAATGTAAAAAACAATGGAATTTGAAATGCAAGTATTATTATATAAAAATTCTTTTTCTTCTAAGAGTTACTAATTTTGTGAAGAAATCACTGATTTTCACAGGATTTGTGTTAATAGTGTAAACTTTTTTATGTTTTGCAGATACTAGGAAAAGTTTTCAGAAAAGAAATTTATTTCTGTCTCAATTAGATTAGAGAAAAAAAATGTTCAGGAGATTAGTTATTGACCTTTTAAAACTGATTGACATCTTGTAACCTGTTGGTTCTAAATATTTAGGGGAAACAGAAGAACTTAGAAATTACATAACTAATTATCTATTTCATTATCTAAGTATTTAAATATCATAATATATAATGGTTTTATCTTTATTCAGGTTATTGCTGTTCATAGTCAAACTATGGAAATACCTGACTGTCCTACTGGATGGGATGGACTCTGGATTGGTTACAGTTTCTTCATGGTAAATTAGGCTACTGTGTATAGATTAAAATTGTAAGAGTATAGGTTTCATGTTTTAAGTTATTTCTCTAACCAAAAAACTGTATTTTTCCTCATATCCTTTTCGAAAAAATGATTTAAAATTATTCTTTTTCTTATAGAAACTCTTATATGAAGCAACTTTTTTCCTCCACAATTGTATGAAAATTCAAATTTTCTAAACTTCAAAGTTAACATACAGAAACATATTTGAAGTTTGTTGTACATCTTTAACCTGCTAATAACAAACACGTCTTCATTCATCAGAATATTGACTACTTAAAGCAGTTCTTTTCTTATGAATATAGGTTGAAAACTTTTTTCTTCTTTTTTAGAATACAGATGCAGGTGCAGAAGGAAGTGGTCAGCCACTGTGGTCCCCCGGTTCTTGTCTGGAAGATTTTCGACCCAATCCTTTCATTGAGTGTCAAGGCCATGGACGATGCAATTACTACACTACAGCCTACAGTTTCTGGCTTGCAACTATTGAAAGAAATGCTGACTTCCGAGTTCCAGATTCCCAAACTCTGAAAGCAGGAGATCTTCGCTCCAGAATCTCCAGGTGTAAAGTTTGTATACGGAGACTGTCAGGAGGAAATAATGACAAAGAAATTTTCCTCCCAATTTCATCGTAGTAGTTTTAACATTCTATAATTCCTTGACAGCTTTATTCCAGCATGTTCTTTAAGAGCTACTTTAGCAAGGAACACTTAAGATATGTTTACTTTCTTTTTCGAAAATAATAAAAAAATAATTCAAATAGACAGTAATATAAAATGTTGACTTTGAACCATACAACCGAATTTCTAAGTTCACAAGTATAAAACTCGTTGCTTGTGACATTCATTTGATATGTTTTATCGTTTATATTGACATACCTAGAAGGATCTTATCTTATTGTACCTTGCTGTTTTGTTATTGTGTGTAATAAAAATCATGGTGCTTTATAACATTCACTGCCAAGACAAGCAGATTTACATACATATAAAGTTTTGTGTATAATACTATTGGATCTGTGTTATATTTGTTTCATCTCGGTGGTTCTTTAGCTTCATGAAGTATTTAGTTAGAGGAAATTGGTTAATGAAATGTCAATATATTAGAACTAAAATATTATGTTTTATGGAATGTAATTGCTTTTAATTTTAAATGTAAAAAAATATGGTTGAAAGCAAGAACACTGCCAGAGTGTCTCATAATGGCTTAGACATCTTGTCTTGTTTACATAAAATGCCAGATTTGAAGTATTTCTATTAATGATTTTTTTTTATTCTGAATTTATATTTTCCATTTAAAATGGCCACTGTGTGATGACCATAATAGGTTAAAAAATGATGTTTTATAATAAGTGTTTTGTGACAGAAATGTGTTTTATTGCTTTTATTATTTAAAGCTTAAAATCGATGTAAGTGCTAGCTTGAATAAATATCAAAATTCAGGATTTATAAACTGTTTATACCCTTTTTAGTACGTTTATGTTACTTGTTGAATTTTAAATGAATATAACAAAATTTAGAATATTCACATTTTAAAACTTTTCTTTTGCCCTTTATACAATGATTTCAAATAAACAAAATTTATAATAGGAGGATAGAACAAGTGTATTCTATAGACTCTTCAAGTTATAGTATGTAATGTACTTGATAAATGAAGATTCACCAGTGTTTTTCTTTCTTTTTGGTTTGTTTTTAAGAACAAAGGTATGGGCTATGTGCACTGTGTCTACCTTGGGGAATTGAACCTCAGATTTTAGGTCCAGGAGAATTTTTTTTTTTTACTTAGTTTTGCAAATAGCTACAAGATAATTTTTTTCATCACATCACAGGTTTTGCTAACTTCAATACTTTTTTTTTATTATCAAAAACAGATACAGGTCTAACAGTAAAGTTGTTTTAACTTTAATGTAAAGTGAAGAAATCCTAGTTTTAACTCTAATGCTGGCAGGGATAATATGAGAATCATTTCTACAACTAGACTACAAGATACAGGTCACAGTTTTAACATTGAAATATTTTTAACTCTGCAGATGACAGGGATGCAGGCCCGCCGACAGGGGGGGGGGGCAACTGCCCGGGGTCCCTGGCGAATGAAACCTGGTTATGGGTAAAGCATCTTTAGGCTATATCATCATATAATGACAAAAACCATAGTTTTTGGCTTTTCTTTGCATATAGACGTTTGATATGTTGAGAACGATTGAGATGATAATTTGAGT